ATGGCACTTTAATAACAGGTTCATTGTCTTCACTATCCTTAGTATAAGTATGTGTTGCATTTTTTCTTCAGCTCTGTAACTTGTTCCTGACAGTACTATATCTTAAGATTCTTTACTCCTTTAGGCATTAATAAAGCTTATTTTCCATGTTCTATAGAACTGTTAGACTTTTTGCTTCAATTTGTAAACAATTTAGTCTCATTTAGTGTACAAGCTAATCAATTTTTGGTATACAAATGACATCTACTAAGGAATAATCCGAAAATTTTCTATTCATTATTCCATAGTGAATATTTGGAATAATTTACTGTGCACTGAGTCTGTTGCCAGGAAAAATTATTCCTTATGAGATATATTCCTTACTACTGTATTCGTTATGAGATTATTGACTGTAGTCTAAGACATTCCAAGTGCAGTAACTCTACATAAGGCAATTGGGGATTTCCTAATCCAGAGTGCAATCTAATAGGTCTGGAAACAACCTGCCTGCTTTCGATGTTCTGTATCGTGACGATGCCACCGTCTGATGACTTCGATCCCGAAATGATTTGCGCACCGTCAGGTGAGAAAGCGACACACTGTACACGATATGTATGACCTTTAAAAGGGCCAGAAACGTTTTCACCACTTTCAGCGTCCCGAACTGGGATCGTTCCATCATCGGAGCCGGAGACGACAAGGGTACCATCAGGCGAGAAAGCAACGGCACGGACGCAGTCTGAATGACCCGTAAATTCCTTCAAGAGTAGCGACCGCCGCTTCACACCTGTTTTCTCTACATGTACAAAGGGTAGGTCAGGTTTCAGGTAGCGTTTCATCACTTCCGACTCCATCGATGCAAATGGGAGAAAAGATACGTAGATATGGGGTGTCGATCGCGAAATGGAAGGTAAATAATAAGTAATTAATCTGCGAGCATCTCTAAGGAACGCGAGCACGTCGGAATAATATGACTAGAAGAGGAATAACATAAGTTACAGCTGTAATAGTACATCTACAAACTCACCGGGACACAATCAATAGCGTGAAGAAGCGATGGACTGGCACGGCTGACTTTGCCGAGGAGACTCATCACCTCAAGCCAATAAAGAAAACGTTTATTAAGGAATTCGGAAAGCTCATCCATCAAAGCATCTGAGAATTCTGCCTCGTATAGGTGCCGAGTCCAGAAGAGACAAGCATACTCTAGGTGCGAAGGAATATTGTCTGTGATGCGGTGCGGGAGGTCCTCGATCTGATCGTTAGGGATATACGATGACTCAATGCCACAGATGTTGAAACGAAGCATATCTTTCATGACTTTGAAGCACTGCATGGCAACAAATTCCTTCTGGTGATTGAGATCAATGATCCACGAATCATTTTTTCGCACAGGGTCCAATAAATAATTGCAAAAGGGCTCATGGTAGAAGCGGACAGGCTCTCGGGGAGTATATACGAGCATAGTCTGTAAATGCAAAAGAACAATCCGTGATGACCCTTCTTCTGAATAGCCTAGAAGGCCATCGATGCCGTCATCAGAGAGCGGCGTTTTGGAAAGGAGGACGAAACCGAGAACTTGCGAAAAGTGAACATCATTTTTTGCACAGACCTTACACATCTCATAATAAAGATACTGTTGATCATTGTCCATGCATGTTGCTGAGTCGTACTCCAGCTCGACAGCGTGTATGTGTTTGGGCTGGGAAGACAGAGCTTGACTAATGTCTAGCTCCCTTCTACTTGTAATGAGAAATCGGTAATTCTTGGGGAGTACGGGAAGCCCTCCCCGGAAGAGCTCTAGCAAAGTTTGTCTACTGGAAACTGTTCCACATTCATCTAGTGCGTTGAGGATAACGATGACAGGTCCCTGCATAGCCTCTCCTGCCCAGAAAAGAGGATCGTTGATGAGTCTTGCGAACTGAGTTCTACCTGAAGCCAGTGAAATATCGTTGTCTTGCTCAATAGCCTCAATGACATGTCTGGCAATTGAGGAGTCAAACGAGGCGAGCTTGTAAGCGAGTGTGCGAATGACAGAACTAGGGTCACTCTGCCCTCGTTGGAAGAAAAGGTGGGCGCCAAGACGTGATATATTACGGAAGCGTTCCGCGATCGTCCTGACCGTGCTCTTACCAGAACTCGCAACACCATACAACCAGAAAACGTTCTCGTCTGAACCCGATGACGCCCATTCCACGATCTCATCTAGGATCCTTGCACGTGTTCCAGGAAGGCACTGCGATCGGTCAAATGCGTTCATCTCATCCGGATTAAGTCGGCTCTTTAGAACTAGTGGACTTTATTCAGCATAAGTCACAAATGGTAGAGGTAACATGCGCACACAATGCATCGACTTACGAAGAGATTCGCAAAGAGACAAAAGCAACGTGAACAACAATTTCGGAGTCTATCGAGCTCTTGAGTAACCTCAGCGCATTAAGATATCCATCGATTGTTGTATTTGCACTTAACATAAACATTCGACCTGGCGTAACTAGCGTCAATCACGGCTGTCATAGTGAAGATCGGACTTACGTGTGAAATTATGGCGCGTGTACTCTTGAATGAAGAGACAGCACTCGTCTGTCTGTTTCAAAAGCTGGATAATCATTTTCTCGAGCCTTTTTGCCTTGTCTGGAAGGGTGTCTATTTGGTCTACAAAACCAAAGGCTTCGCTCATAGCATGCACAAGTTCGATGACTTCCTTGTCAACTTCAACCTGATTTCTGACGCTCTGCAAATAACGTCAAACCAAGTCGAACGCTGAAGTACTGTATGTAAGTACCTTATATAGTGCCGAAGCCAATTGCCACGCGAAGTTGGCATATGGATGGATCTGGCCTCTTTTAGCAACCACAACAACAATTCGAGGGGAGACAGAGGCTTACTTGAGATAACTCGTCTATGACACGAACGATAACATCCAGTTTCTTGATGAGAGCTCCCACAGACTTGTACAGATCGCCATGCTCAGCAAAGTGATCGGTGGCACCATCAACAACCGCAAGAGCTACCGAATCGGTAACGGCAGCCGAGCCTGAGACCCCACTCTGCTGGATCGCTTGTTCTGCAGCACTGATGTTGTGGATGGCGCTTGTCCTCGCGCTGACAGTCTTTAGACGTAAATGAAGGACCGCAGCAGTCTCCGTCGATGCTGGACCATCGGGCTTGTTAAGACGAAGTTCCATTTCTGGTGGTTCAGTCAGTACGTGGGAGAGCTGGGTACAATTCGTATACCTCTACCATTAGCACAACTGTTCAACAAGTCGGCATACTCCACGTCGATCTCGCCCACGCATTTGTCTCTCGAGTAAGATGAATTGTGCTTGATCTGAATATTGAATTTCGCCGCCTGGTCTAAAGATGGTCTATAGAGATGACTTGAATAGAGACCTTTATCAAAGCATAGTCATTGCTCACAGTGCAAATATAAACCTTTCGTTCCATTCGGGGGACAGGTTCTTCTCAACGACCAGGGTTTTTCTACTGTCACCACTGAAATTGATCCGGACATAAAGGCTCGGTAGTCTGCTATGAAAAGTAGGGTGCATTCCACTTGTGAGGCACGAACAACTGTAGACCATGTCAGTGAAATGTTGAAATTGACACTCAGCAGAATCTGGGCAGAAAGGCATGTATCCGAGGGACTAGGGGTCATAGGGGAATCCATCAAGTTGTGCAACAACTTGCCTTAATTTATGGATGCGTAAAAGGGAGATTAGAGTAGGTCTGAGAGTTTATATACCCTGTGTTGCTTCTGCTAAACAGGGCGATGTGCCTTTGTGAGGTAAAAGGAAACAAGAAGCATAAAGGCCATCGGAAAGTTGCAACCATACGAAACAAAGGTGATCCAGTGCTAATATAATACATAAACACAAAAGAAGCAAAACTTGGAGGCTCAGATATTCCCTTGATACATACGAGAACAAGTTGCTGTGGTAAGTTGAAGCAAGGAGAAGTAAATCAGCAATGTCGATCTCCTTAGTCAGAGTCTCAATATGTCGCGTCATCGGACAATATTACAATAATGGTCATATTTTTTTGTTTGTCTCCCGTTTTCATGTCTTGCTTGGTTTCTGTGTCTCTGTCTATCCATGCATTGCATCAAGGGATAAGCTATTATACTCTTATAAGGCTGAGGTTTCTTGGGCAGAGTGCCTGACTAAGCTTCTCCGGATGGCCAGGGCACGACTATGTAGTATCTTCAACTTTGTGTTCTAAGTTAGCTAATCGGGATGTGGACTCAACACTGACCACCACCATCACCACTCGGTCGGCAGAACTCTTGGAAGCATGAAACCAGAGGACCAATCAGAGGTTCATAAGCCAGTGGATTTGGAAATCAGGCCTGATCTCTGTGCAAATTCAAAACCAGAGCATGAGTAAGCAACGTCTAAGTCTGACATGCTTGTTGTACACATGTGAAGAAAACCACATTCTTATGCAATGGGACAGGTGACCAAGTGCCATAGACTGAAGCACGGGATAATGTTGTCACTGAGGGACAAAGCATTCCTCCCATCTGTCGCCAACAGCAGCGTTTGTGAAGTCCAGCCTAGTTGAATAATGACAATTGAAAACAGCAGTATTCTGAGGGTGCCAAAGCGTTTGACAGACGTCAAGAGGGATCCATAGTAATAACTCTCCTTCACGTCTGCGTATCCATCCGTCTTCGGCCAATGTCCAGTCGAAGGTAGGATCTATATTGAGAGCAAAAAAAAAGTCATATAGGGAATAGAACACATAGTAAGCAAATAAGCCAGCTTCCAACCTTCTACGATCCATATCCTGATCGTACGATCTGCAGAGCCGGAGACAACTCTTCCTCCATCTAGAGAAAATGCAACAGATTCGACATCAGACGTATGCCCTTCGAAAGGTGCGTAGACGGTCTGTCTACTCTCAACGTCCCACACACGGACTCTTCTGTCAATGGAACCACAAGCGACACGTGCTGCCTCGGCAGAGAAAGCGACTGACTTAATGAAGCTTGTACAGCATTGAAAAGGTCCAGCGACGACGTGTCCGTTCCCAACGTGCCAGATCAAGATGGTCCTATCGGCAGAACCAGAGATAAGGTGCATGCCATCAGGCAAGAAAGCTACTGACAAAACCCAAAATGTGTGTCCCTTTAAGGGGCCAGAAACTGCTTCGCCTCTTTCAGTGTCCCAGACCACAATCGTATTGTCGGCGGAGCCAGAGACAACTTGTCTTCCATTAGGTGAGAAAGCAGCACAGAAAACACTGCCCTCGTGCTTTCTGAGAGGACCTAAAATCATCTGTCCAACCTCAATGTTCCATATTCGGAGTGTTTTGTCATCGGATCCGGACAGGATGCGAGCTCCATCTGGGGAGAAGGAGATAGACAGGACAGCTCCCTCATGTCCTTTGAAAGGTCCAGAAACCGCCTCACCATTTGCAGCATCCCAAACCTGGATTGTTCGATCAGAAGAGCCAGAGGCAACATGCCTTCCGTCAGGCGAGAAGGCGACGGATCGGATTGCCCCTCTATGCCCTTTGAAGGGCACGGAGACAGCCCGCCCAGTTGCAAAGTGCCAGATTCGGAGCGTGTTATCACGTGAGCCAGAAGCAACACGGGCGAGAATGTGAGAGAATCTACTTTGTCTGTATGCCCCTCAAATTGCCCAGAAATAGTTTGTACACTTTCAGCATCCCATATCCGGATAATGTTATCCTTGGAGCCTGAGATGACACGGGTTCCGTACGGCGAGAATGCAACGGATGTTACTCTCCCAGTTTGCCCTTTGAAGGGACCGGAAACGACCTGCTCAGTCTCAGCATCCCAGATTCGAACTGTCCCATCATCGGAACCAGAGACGAGACGCGTGCTGACTGGCGAAAAAGAGACAGCATTTACTTTAGTTGTATGGCCTCTGAAAGACTCAGAAATGCATTGCCCATTCTCAGAGTCCCAGATTCTGATAGTCCTATCTGCAGAGCCCGAAGCGATGTGTAGTCCGTCACGAGAGATAGAAACTGACACGATACGGCCTGCATGACCTTCGAAAGGGCCACACAAGGACTGTCCGCTCTTAGTGTCCCATACTCGAACGGTTTTATCGTCAGAACC